TCTTAGTATCACTCACATACTTGGAGAGAAGAATCACAGTTATCATCTTTTTACCCCGACTGTTGCCATGGAAATGACAACAGAGCTGACCTTCATTCGTTCTGTCAATTAAACATCTTAAATACAGCTAGTCAGATGGCAGAAATAATTGGTTTCAGACCTCTAGTGCCTAGCCTTGATTGCCTTGTGATTTTGCTGCTTTTTGTGACTATTTAGCATCCCATGACTTGCCTACACTCATAAAAATGGAGGAATAATTGTGAAATGTTGTGCTGGGCATGAGGTAATTTAATCACAACCTAAACTCTTATGAAAGCGGCATATACAGATTTAATCAATTAGGCTCAGCACTGAGGCTAAGATTGGATTTTCCCAAAGAAACATGCAACTAAAGAACAGGACCCACACAAAATCGACAAGTATGCTTTGCATGCGTGTTGGTTGTTCATGTCAGGACTGGATTAGTTTAGTGTCATGTCATTATACATCAGATCGAACAGAACTACATTTCTGTCATGACAACTCTCGGAGGGATTGGCATGGTAATGTACATGACAATGTTAATGTATTTAGTCTTGGCGGAATAGATCTGCTACACTGCTGCTGCTACTGCGGCAGAGCAAGTACCGAGACTTGCTACTGCCAATACATCCACAACATGCTGCTGTGAGCATGTAAGAAATATTGCTGCTGCAATTATAACATACATGAAATAACCCCCATATAGCATACATGAATCACCTCGTAGCAGATCTATACAGGTGGAGCTGGGGAAGGTGGAGGGTTTCTGAAGCAAGCTGCAACTGCTACTGCAAGCACTAATCATATATTTGAATGTTGAGCAGCGAGCTCAAGTTTCATGCCAGATTGAGTTTCATGCCAGAGCTCTGTATTTATAAGTACACTTAACAAATGTTGCAAACTCTGTTCAACTTTACCTACTCAGGTTAATTCAGTTTATTCAAGTTTGTTTATTGGACCTGCCAGAGATGTGAAAGCTACTAATATGGCTGATAAACCCTTACCTTATTAAGTATGTACTCTGAAGGACGTTTCCAAGTGTGTACTCTCAAGAAGGCAGGAAGTTCAACCTTCCCTTCTGAATCATCAAAGAGCTGTTGGCAATGTTGTTACATAAAATGCTCAATATGGTTTTAGATTCACATTCAAAGGAAAACAAATACAAAACAGAATAAAAGCTATTAAAAATGATGATCAAATTACAAAGTGCATGGTGCCAAACACTCTTGACTCATCAATTGAAATGCTACAGTACATCTCTCAAGCTAAGCAGTTTGCTGAAACAGATTTCTGCTCTCACCAATCCTGACACAGCTCTGTAAAGCTTTTATAAAGGAAAGACATTGAATATTAAATCACGTCTGACTCATCAATTCTCACCTTGCTATCCTTAGAGGCTTTAGCTGCATCCCATTTCTCAGCATTGACCTCAGTGTCGCTCCACTCCGGCCAGAGAGAGATGAGAATTTTCTTTGGCTCTTCAGGACTTTCTGATGCACTGATCACTGAGGATGCTCTAGAGATTTAAAGGGGTCCTATTATGCTCTTTTACAAAGTCTTGATTTTGTTTTGGGGTGTAACGTTGCAGATCTTTTTTATGCTCAAACAGCAACATTACAGACTAACTAAAGTTGAAAAAGTGAAAAAGCATAATAGCACCCCTTTAATGTAATCTATTTAAAAAGATGACTATTTAATATAATAATTTCATTTGAATTTGCATGATTTGTGATGGGTCTTTTCAATTGTTATTTTCAATCTAAACTGCACATTACTATCAATCTCTCTCTACCTACAGTACCTACTATATATTAAGGTTTAAAACTTTATTTTCCTTTGCACACATTATTCCAAACACTGTTTTTCTTCTTCTTCTTCTTCAGGGAACAAAATTCTAGCTAAACTGAATGCTAAGTTAACTTATTATAACAGGACTGAAGCAGAAATTTGTAAATTATGTGTATTAACCTACTGCAAAGAAAACGTGATTCTATGTTATTAATGTTAGAAAAGTAGGCATGTTGTTGTTGTTGTTAATGCAAAATACACAAAAATACACAATTTCGTGTTAGGCACTCATAAAAGTTGTCAGGAAAATGTGATACATTAACTTGCCAGAAACAAATGTTGTATGTTGTCAAATTCAAAACTACATGTAACGACCGCCCCCCAATATTTTACTAAAAACATAAACAACTTCCGTAAGCTAAAGACAAACACAATACAGTAAAGATATAGGGTGGAATAAATGTTTTATAAATTATATTATCTGTGACTTATCAATATTATTGAAATATTTCGAGGGCATAAACATAGCGAGGTTGTGTTAATTAATCTTCAGTCAAGTCTTACTCTTTTTTGGGAGAGTGTCCAGGCGAAGAAGCGACGAGACTGGAGGAGGACGTCTTTTTCTTGGGCGTCTTCGACATTGCAAGTGTTCGTAGGCTTTATTTCTAATCTAAGAGTTGATAGTTTGAAGCAACACTTGGCTGATTAAAGCACGAAAGATAATGATGAATAGGAAGCGATGCCCAGGGTGAGACTCAGGCAGTAGGGAAAGTTTGCCATGTCGCTAGGCGACAGGATCACTTGGGATTGCCGACAGCACGAGCGCAGGGCTTTATTACCACCTCGCGCCAATGAACTCCTCCTGACCTCCTCAAACAAACCCTTGAGTCTATCCACTGTCGTTTAGCGATAGGAAGAAAGACTCGTCTCTTTTCTCTCCTCACGAACAGTTAATTTCAAAGAACCGATTCTTTTTTTGTTTTTAGGATCTTTAGGTTTTTCTTTTTTTTTATTGCATATGAACATATATAACAACAAAAGAAGTACAACGTTGAATATAAATGCCATCAGTACACAAGATTACAAGTAAAATAAAAATTAGCCAGAGGAATAAAGAAAACATAAACAAAACAAACAAACAAACAAAAAAACTAATAATGAAGACGGTACAGTTTACTTGTCTATTTCAAATTTGCATATAATAGTAGAAGTCCTGAGAGCTTTTTTTTTGTTTGTTTTACATTTATATACCATATTGCAGTATTGTTTAAATTCGTTGATAAAATGAAAAAATTTGGCTTACCACCCGACTACTTCATTTTATGTATATGAAACTTCCCCATTACAACCAGTAATTGAATAATATACAGTAATCCATTACATTACACATTTTAGGTAATATAATCAGACTGCTTTTAGATTACTTATAGATTACTTATGAGCTATCTCGTTTATCGCATTTTTAAAAATAGGATAATCTTGTACTATATTGATATAAAAATACAAAGATTAAGAAAATATATTCCATTCATTATGCCATTCCAGGTTTCCCAAAGTGGGGTTTGTGAAGGAACTGCAGGGGGTTTATGAGTTTAATGAAAAGCTAATAATTAATTAAATCATAAAAATATAAAATTTAAATGAATGATTTTAAAATAGCTTCAATCAAAATAAAAGACTTACTACAAATTAAATATCAAATGTGTCTTACCACCCGACCACTTCATTTTGTGTAGGCCTATATGAAACTTCCCCATTACAACCAGAAATTGAATAATATACGCTTTATTCTTCAAAGAACCGATTCCAAAAACTGAATCATTTTACCTTTTACGTCAACAAGTAATTACGTCATCACGCGATACTTTACGTCGCATCATATATTAAATTTAAATAAGTCATTATAAAATAAATAAAAATAAAAAACTTAGTAAAAAACAATGAAATATTTTATTTGTTTACCCGCATGTCATGTGACCATAACTAACGTCAGAGAACCATGAACATGCAAATGTGATACTTAATAAAATATTTATTTTAAAATCTCAGGGGTCCTTCAAGTAAATATACTAAGTGAAAGAGGATCAGATGAGAAAAAAATGTTTTTGTAAATTTGTGCATTTTAATGTGTTTGAAAGACAAAAGCCTTCTAAAGACATATAAATACATGGTTAAATAACCTACAGAGTGATAATTCAAATAAAAATTAACGGTAACACTTTATTTTGATGGTCCCTTTTGAACATTCTGTCTACAATAAGTAACTTTGCACCTACATGTCAACAAACTCTCATTAGAGTATTAGTAGACTGTCTGATTAATATCTGCTAACTCTTTATTGAGATGGCATCCCAAGACATTCTACTGACTATAAGTAACTTTGCAAGTACATGTCAGCTTATTCTAACCCTAACCCTACTCATGCTCAACTAACATGCTAATGAGAGTAAGTAGATATAGGTGCAACCTTACTATAGTCAACAGAATGTGTTAAAGGAACCACCAAAATAAAGTGAAACCAAATTAATGTGTTCATCACTAGTTGATGCAATATTGAAACACTTCTTAAACCTGAAATGATTTTTATAAATCAAATGGTCATTTAAATTAAATTGAATAATTTATTGCTATTGTGTAAATAATATGTCATCATGTAATCCATAAAAAAGTAACTGTAGTCTGATTACACATATTTTAAAATCTAATTACAAGTACTTCATTTTTGGAATCTGATTACTTAATCCAGATTACATGTAATCATTTACTACCCAGCTCTGCACATAATCAACACGATGACTAAATGAACCCATTCTCCAATACACATTAGTCTATCAACCACCGCATACATGTATGGCATGATTACTGCTTGTACAATTTTTCTGAAATCGATGGCACTCTAACACATCTACAGCACCTGCTAGTGTATTAAAGCATAGCTGATTCTGTCCCCTTTTCCTATTATACACAGCTCATCCTCCCTCATGAGATGACCTACGGCAATGTTTCACCTGTACTGAATCCAGGATTTTAATAGCATTCTGAATTCTCATACAGCTTTGAAAGACAACCAATAAATACTGCCACATTTCATATTATCATAATTATATTATAATGAAGCTTTTGTAAGAATTTCAAATTTTACGGCACACCCACTCACATGTTCATTGAGATCACGCAAGATAAGACTATAAACAGTTTTAAAAGTTTTATTCTGTCATTGTTACTTCAACAAACAATTGTTTGCAAACTTTACAAACTTGTTCCAGCATATTAAAATGTATATTTGCCTTCAGGTAATTCTAAAATAAAGCCATGGACAGAGCAAATGCTCAGATCCCTCATTGAGTACCAATTAAAAAACAATTAATAAACATATTTTAACATTAACATGTACAAGCCCGAGGAAAACCAACATGATCTTACTCTCTGAACCACAAATATACATGCTTAGGCCCATGATTCTTACAGATCTCGCATTAGAGGACAATTCATTTTCTTTTTATTTATTTTTTCTTGATCAAATTATTTTGTGGTAAGAGCTTCAAGAGTGATGGTTGGATCTTCACAGACACAGACTAAATGCCCTGGGAATATGTACTATTTTGCCATAAAGTGACATATTGAGAACTTTTCCTTTAAAAATTTAGGGTGGCGATTCCCAGCAGCAGATGCAAATAGTCCAGAATTTTTTAAAACAGCTAACCCTCTGTGACAAAGGCATTCGTTTGATTTAATTTCGGCTAAGAACTTTTACTGGTATTTGCCTGGTCCTATGACACCCATTTAGTTTCATTCGTTTTAAGCAATATTACAACAAGCACACACTGAAGTAACTTGCTTGACGCTATTAAAATGACAAACATGGCGCAGAACAAGAGTGAGAGAGAAAAAATGGTCATTAAAAGCATCAGAAAGATGTTTTCATCTGATCATCTGTCCTTTGGCAGTGATGTCTTCTCCCCTTTTAGAGCACAAACTGTTGACCCCTGGTTATGCTGTGATCCGTGGCAGGGGTTTGGGATGAGGTGGGATTGGGGAATTTGTTGAGCTCGGTCCCTGGCCTCCTTTCCACGTCAGATGATGGGACACACAAGAGCATCCACACTAGCAACAACCTGACTTGCTCTCAGCAGGCACTGTTTGTTGGTCCAGTTTAATCTTGTCACCATTGTTTTCTTCATATGGAAGACCTTTATCGTTGAGAAGGATGTTCTCCACCAGGAACCGGGCAGCCTCATCAACATTGATGTTCTCCTGCAGTGAACAGAGTCAAATGTTAAAGGGATAGTTCACCCGAAAATCATTCCTCATGTTGTTCCAAACCTGTATGAGCTTCTTTCTTCTCCATAAGATAAAAGAAGACATTTTGTTGTTTCTTGAACTGTTTTTGAACATACAATGAAAGACAGTTGGGTCCAAATATCAATGGATCTCTGTGTGATTTTCATTGTATCGACATAAAACATGGAGACATTCATCAAAATATCTTTCTTTGTGTTCTGCAGAAGAAACAAAGTCATACAGGTTTGGAACCTTTCCAGAATATTGAGATCATTTACAAAACGGTCAATAGACCTAAATTGTTAAGCTAAACTGAGTGCTTAGTGAAGCTTCGAGAGGTACTTCAGCATGAAGCTGGATTGATGGCATCCGCCTACACGACATCTCTCTTCTCATCGCTCTTTCGAGACAATTCACTGTCTTTCCATTTACATCCCTCTATCCCTCAGCAGTCTGTGGCTTCAACGCAATAAAGTGGGAATGAGACAGATTTGAGGAAAAGGGCAGAAAACAGAAAGGTTAAACAAAAGCCAACCATCCATATTTGTCATTCACCCAGAGTACTGAACACAATAAAGGTGGCACGGCCATGCTGAGTGACAATGACGGTTTCTATTAGACAACTGATGTCCAGCAGTGGGCAAGAAAAACAAGATAATCAATAATGCTAATACATGGCCTACGGAACACTATTTGCTTGCAGTGAGCAGTGTCAATAACTTGAGTTTTCAAGCTGGTTAAGAACATCATGAGACTGTTTGAGACATGACTTTCAGAAAGTGTTCTGTGCTCTTGCTTGTTTTAAAGGGCGATGAACTGATGTTGTGACATCTTTTGGTAGAAACGATGGTTGAAATGACTGCCATTTTGAAATCTGCATGGGCCATTGAGAAGCTTGATTGAACTTAAAGACTTGCTATGAAATGATAATGATAATCAATTCAAACTAAAGAGCTCACAGAAGCCCTGTAGCCTACCGGTCTGCCCACACATTTCATAGTAAGTATTTTGCCCAACTATCCAGAAAAAATGTCTAAACATTTTTAAAAAGACCCATTTTCTCAAGAATCAAAAATGTGTAGACTCTTTTTATTCAAGGAATATAACTTGAATCAAGTTTTTAGGTTTTCTTGCTCAATTTGTGCGTTTTTTCTTGTTTTAAGCATTACATGAACACAATTTTCATGAGATTTATGCTTAAACAATTTTGTTCCCAAAATAAATTATTTTGAAGGATGTTTAGTCATGTTTAAAAACAAGGAGGAAAATTATTCTTTAATGCATGCATATATATATATATATATATTTCTCATCATTGCTATATTATATCTCCCAATGTAACTTCATATCTTGCAAATGTGACTTCATTTCTTACAACTGTTACATTATATCTCCCAATGTGATTTTATTTCTTATTTAAAACGTTATCTCACAATACTTTTTATGTATGTATTTATTGATTTATATTTTTACTCCAAGGTTTAATGGTCCTCCAACATTTTCTACAATTGTCATTTGTTCAAAAAAGTGGGGCAAGGTGCAAAAACAAAATACACATGCGGTCCACTGGGAGAGGAGCAATAGCAGGAGATAAAAAAGAGAGAGACAGAAACGATCTTTAGATCAGTCAGCGTAGAGGCTTGATTGAACACGACGAGGTCCCGATAGATAAGAGCCGACACATTTACCATACACAAACATGCACGTGCACAAACACACACATTTACACACGACAGGTGCCAGAGCTCCCTGCCAGACATCTGTGTGCTTGAGTCCCTAATGGAGAGATCTATTTCAGAAACATGTGCTTATGCAGACTGACTGATGAGACACCTTCTGTTAAACAGTTAAGACCAGACACTGCTACAGACAGAAACCGACCAAACACAAATAGCAAGACACAGTAAAGATATATTTAAGGCCAAAACGTGTGACTTGAAAATGCATTTCAAGGGGTACAATTTAACAGGGAGTTGAATACCTACACAACCACACACTCTTCAAGACACTGTACTCCCCGGAATTAACAAACAGACATTTCCTTCTCCTCCTTCCTGTTCCTGTTTTCTTCCTTCTCTCATCCCAGAGTATTTCTCTTTAGCCAACTTAATTTATCCAGCCTCACCTAGCATCCCTCAAATGTGTGTAATATAGGAAAGAGATTAATGTGCAAAATACATCAAAGAAACTGCTGATGCACAACTCTAAACACACATATTTCATTATCTTTTGCAGCGTTTTTAAGATTCCGCTGATACGGTAAAATATGTGACTATGGATCTTAGTCAGGAATGACAACCATTTGTAATAAAAACCATGTGAAAGTCAGCATACTGCAGGCACTAAGAAAAATAACTTATCTAGACAGGATGGCGTCCATGTCACAAACAATTATTTGATGAATAGAAAGTTCAAAAGAACAGCATTTATTTAAAACATTATAAACACCTCTACTGCCATTTTTGATGAATCCAGTGCATCCTTGCTGAATTAAAGTATTAATTTCTTTTAAATAAAAATGACTCCAATGACTCTACTTTCAATTTAAATGACTCCAAAGTTTTGAATTGTAATATAATAAAAATAACTCCTTTTAATAAAAAATAAATTAAAATGAATAAAAATAATATGTATTGCAATGCACTCAATCTGTAAACATAGCTGTATCAATAAAATTTGATATTCAAGTTTTAGCCAATGTACTACTAAACATTGTGCTACTAGTTCTACATTTTAAATCAGTGGGCAAAGTTTCAGCAATTCAAGCTGAGATGAAAAATTTCTCCCTCAAAAATCCCATACATCCCGCTGCTTCACGTGACAAGTTACACATTGCGCATTTGACATACGTCTCTTGAGTCCCTAATGGAGAGATCTATTTCAGAAACATGTGCTTATGCAGACTGACTGATGAGACACCTTCTGTTAAACAGTTAAGACCAGACACTGCTACAGACAGAAACCGACCAAACACAAATAGCAAGACACAGTAAAGATATATTTAAGGCCAAAACGTGTGACTTGAAAATGCATTTCAAGGGGTACAATTTAACAGGGAGTTGAATACCTACACAACCACACACTCTTCAAGACACTGTACTCCCCGGAATTAACAAACAGACATTTCCTTCTCCTCCTTCCTGTTCCTGTTTTCTTCCTTCTCTCATCCCAGAGTATTTCTCTTTAGCCAACTTAATTTATCCAGCCTCACCTAGCATCCCTCAAATGTGTGTAATATAGGAAAGAGATTAATGTGCAAAATACATCAAAGAAACTGCTGATGCACAACTCTAAACACACATATTTCATTATCTTTTGCAGCGTTTTTAAGATTCCGCTGATACGGTAAAATATGTGACTATGGATCTTAGTCAGGAATGACAACCATTTGTAATAAAAACCATGTGAAAGTCAGCATACTGCAGGCACTAAGAAAAATAACTTATCTAGACAGGATGGCGTCCATGTCACAAACACAAGGGCATAAATAATAATAGTTAAATATAGCTGAATAAATAATATCAATTAATTATAATAAATAATAAAACAAATTGATGAATTAAAAAGAAATCAATTCAAAATGCATGTTTTTACTGATGTTAACTGCAGATCGTAATACATTATTGCTATTATTGTGTCAAAAAGCAAAAATACACTACTGTTTAGTTTGTGGTCAGTTAGATGTTTTAATGTTTTTAGTCTCTTATGTTTACCAAGGTTGTATTTGTTTGGTCAAAAATACAATAAAACGGTAATATTATGAAATATTATTATAATTTAAAATGTAAAATTTAAATAATTTAGTGCTCAAGAAACATTTCTTATTATCACACTTGAAAACGGTTGTGCTGCTTAATATTTCTATGAAAACTGTGATACATATATATATATATATACAGATGAAAAATTTCTCCCTCAAAAATCCCATACATCCCGCTGCTTCACGTGACAAGTTACACATTGCGCATTTGACATACGTCTGGTGATTCAGGCAGGAGGAGTGGCTAATGTCCTTAAGACTGCCGCAGTGGTGCCGTTTTGGCCTTAATACCATGGAGAATGTCAGCCATTTTAAATACTTGATCTAATATGGCAGCTTTCATGGTCGTCTGAGCTGATTAGAGAGGAAAGGTGTAGTAAGAAGCTTCTATTCTTAGCAAAAATGTCTCGTGACAAGTTCTCCTTCAGTTTGACCAAGCACAAACAAACATTTAAGTGGCTAAGTGAACACAGAATGAGCTTATATTACCTTAGCTGATGTTTCAAACCAACCCAAAAACCCAGCCTCCTTGCAGAAGTTGTCCATAAGTGAGGAATTGTTGGATCCATCTTTCTTCTGGTCACATTTATTGGCGAGAAGGACAGAAGGGATGGGATTGCCATTGGCAAGTTTCACCTTGCTGTCCAAATCGTGCTTCCATTTTGAAACAGCCTCGAACGTAGAGCCTCGAGTAATGTCGAAAACAACAAACGCACCCACTGCCTCCTTATAGTAAACTCTGGTCATGTTCCCAAACCGCTCTTGACCTAAACATGAGACAAACATATAATACAAGCACAATTATTATGAGTGACAGAGAGTTCAACAAAATATGTAACAAACATTTCACTTTAATTTTTTTAATTCAACCAGTTGAAATTCCTAACATGTTTTCCATACAGTTTTATAATGGGAGTTAATGAGAGCATGTGGTTGCTATAAGTAAAGCAGGTTTATGTTAATCACTGCAATACTGTGCTCTCGTGTTCCAGCCCACAGAACACAAAGACTGACTGATTCTGGTCACAATCAGTCTGAGATGTGCTGCTCGGTCTCATAGTTCATCTTGCCTGGGGAGGGATAAAGCCCAGCACAGCGCAAAATCTTTGAAACCTAGATGGACAGAAAAAAGGAGGAGTGGAGCGAAAGATTCACCCAGCGGTAGTTGCTAATAACACATCAAAGAACTGACTCAGTGCACACACCCCTCTAGTGTTGTCAAAAGACCCGGTTTTCGGTACCAAGTCGGTACTAACAAAATGAAAACGTTACGGTACCAGGTTTTCTTAAGTACCGGTTCTTGATGCGCTGTCCGAAAGCTATCCTCTTCCAGTGTTGCCAAGTCCGCGGTTTCCCCGCGGAATTGGGCTGCTTTAACACTGTTGCCGCGGGTTGTTTTTCATGTCCGCGGGTTGAAAACTTGTGGGAAAACTTGAAACACTTTTAAATAAGTATAAAGAATGGCATTGGTTTTGTACATTTAATTTTTGTTTAACGTTATTAATAAAAATGTTGTTCAATTAGCATGTTTTTGTGTTTTGCTTTGGTACCGAAATTGGTACCGAGAACCGTGGATTTTCACTGGTATCGGTACCGAATACTGAAATTTTGGTACCGTGACAACACTACACCCCTCTCATATCCCTCTCACCTAAATTCACCACAGTCGCTTATGTCATTACATTTACTGCCTTGATGTGTAAAAATGTGGAGAATACACCAAGCTTTTATATTCAAGTGTACATTTTTTAATGTACAAAACAGCACGTTGTGGAAAGCGGTTAAGCAGTTAAGAAATAGCTTTTGAACCTGCCATTTATTCTGACTAGCTTAAAAGGAAAAAACTGAGCTTGACCTCCTTTTTGATACAACACAGCAAGGCATTAAAACTAAGAGATGGTGAAGAGAACGGAAAAATGTAAGAGGACAAGACAACAAGAGGGAGACAAGCAACAGACAATTAGAGAAGGAGAAAATGATAGCAAGAGACAGTGAACTTGCTTCACTAGAGACCAAAACCGTTCTCATATTGAACCAAAGAGACAAGCTAGGCCTGTCGCGATTATTTGAATTAATCATACTCATTTGCGATTACTGTGATTGTTACATACTTTAAATTCCAGTCACATATGACATCCAACATAAGGGAATTGTAAAGGGATAGTTCACTTGTACACACACGCACACAACACAAGGAAGTACAGGTGCATCTCAATAAATTAGAATGTCGTGGAAAAGTTAATTTATTTCAGTAATTCAACTCAAATTGTGAAACTTGTGTATTAAATAAATTCAATGCACACACACAACACAAGGAAGAGTAAATAATGATGCATTTCTACAATAGCAAGATTAACTGAAGGCTTTTGAGTAATGCTGCATTTAATTGGTATATTTTTAGCGGTATGCTAAGCTAAATGCTATCTTTCAAAAGTGAGTTGTGAACCCCTAGCATCAAGTAACCTAGACCCCTCAGAATCAGATCCATGACTTGTGGCAGTGTGCTGTTTCCCACAGAAACGAAAAGACTTCAGAGCAGTTTCATGAGTCTACAACACTCTAGTCTTAGTGTTTATGCAGCAGTTAAGCCAGAGCCCAAACCACTCTCTCAGATCAGAGTTCAGACAGAGGAAGACAGTGATCACGGGCCTGTCTGTAATGCCTAACATTGCTTTGTTCTACACTCTCTCACTCTTTCTTCGGAGAGTGAGAGAAGCTGGGGAAGTGCAGCGAGGCAATACGTGTGTGTTTGTGATAAGAGAGAGATAGAAGATTCACATCTTTCGCTTCTGTGCCAACAGGCTGAAGGATATTGCCATTTCTCTGTGTACAAACAGCACTGAGTATGTAAAATTCATTTAATCAGTATTGTGGAAGCTACTTTAAATTTCTATCTACTCTTGAGTGGAAATATTCAGCACATTCAAGCAATATGATGCAAAGGAGAATGCTATTTTTCCAAACATCATGGCTGGTCATCACAGCCTGTTATGATTATAATAGCAACCAACAGTATGACTAAGTGTGTTAGGAACTATTCAATAAAAAAGCAAATAGTTAATATTTTGAGTAACTTATTTTCTAAACACAATATTTCCAGCTGCTGTTTATTTTTGCTCGACCAGCAAAAACTGAAAGTTGAGTGAATGATTCAATGGCTCGCTTATTATGGCAGTCACTGAAGTAATTAATTCATGAATAAGTGTTGTTGAATGAATGGTTGAATGAATGACTCATTTATAAAGACAATCACTTGTTGTCACCTACTGGCATAACAATGTAATTTACAGAAAGAATCTGAACAATTCATACCCCATTGCACAAACTGACAGCCTATTGTTTTATCTATTATAATTACTTCTAATAAGCTTTAATTTAAAGGTCCCATGACATGCTGCTTTTTGGATGCTTTTATAAGAAAAAGAATGAGATTGACAGAATGCAGCTGAGCATACATTTATTGTTACTTATTGCAGTAAATGTACTTTACTGCATTCTAACCAAAATCAGTGCTTTACTGTCAATTGTGCATTTTTAATAGGCAAAATAAGCAATATTAATATAGTTAACTGCATCATATTCAGTAATATCTGCTGTTATAGATTTGTGGTATTTATTTATTTAAATTTAAAGGTCCCAATAAGCCCTCAAGACATTCACAGAGGAACGTGTGGGCCACATGAACTGGATTTTTACAAGGCCAAATTTTTGTCCCAGTCCAACCCTGCTCTCTACCGCTGCGTTCAATACAGTAGGTTTATAGTGTGTAGAGTAGACCTTTAGATGTCTATATTAGGTTTCCAGTGATCAGCATTGAAACATGGAGCACATTTCACCCCCCAACGGTCTCAGCTCCATTATCTTCGCTCGTTCAGCTACGCGCTTCACACGCCAAAAGCTCCTTAGGTCTCTCAGCAGCTAATTGCTCTTGATTGCTGGTCTAAATTTAGACCATTTAACCTCAGGTGAACACACGGGAGGGCTGACACACAAGTAGACAGAACCTAATTCTTGGCTCCCGGTCCATTTTGGGCACACAGCCGTAAAAATCTTTTTTTTAAAACTCGCTCTGACGAATTAAAGATATTGAATACCCAGAGACCAGCCACATACGAACTCGTGAACGCATCTGGTGCGCTAGGCCAGCTGTCACACAGCAAGAAATCTCAGAAATGCTTTTAGTTCCTAGAAACAGTATGTGAAGGGCCAGAATCGTACCCTTGATCAATACTTTATGCCACAATATGCTGTGCATGCTGTTGTGAACTGGTATTTTCTCAAAATTAATGGTTCTCTGTGTGTGGCGCTGTTATAGAAAAATAGAAGACCAGTGAACCAAGCTAACTGTACCTGCAGTGCTTCACAGAAAGTCGACTACTTAACGAAAGAGAAAAGGAGAACTGCTGAGAGAATAGTGTGAAAGCTGAGGCTTAGCCCGACATGAAAAAGGCAAATGGAGTAGAAAGCTCTTGTATTAACTGAGAAAAAGCCACAGTGTGATGTAATAGTTTCACAATGAAAGGTGCTTTCCCTGGTCCATGGCTCCCTGAGGGGCGTGTGAAATTGCACTAAAATGAAGAAGCCAAGAAAGACATTTTTGAGTTCATCTAGTTTGCGCAATTCAAAGAAATGCACTTTTTTTTTGATTGTGGATTGTGAAAACAATTTGTACTGAAGTTATGCTTATAAAGACTTTTACTTTCTCTATAGGCAAGAAGACCTGATGGGCCTGATCTGAGAACAAACCATCCAACCGGTTCGGTTTATATATATAATATGTGTGTTTACATATATATATATATATATATATATATATATATATATATATATATATATGTGTGTGTGTGCTAAAA